TAGAAATAGACAAATATCAATAGATAAAATAACAAATAATAATAGGTCTTTCTCTCATTGGTGTTACGAGGATTCAATGAGATAATAATGTATGGTAAACCCTTAATACAACAATAATTAGCTGTAGTAAATAATAATTGTTAGCTATTATTGCATTGTTGCATGACCCACTTTACATGGCCCCTTTATGATAGGAATTTCATAAATTTCATGTTATTTCACCTAGTCCAATGTTTAACATATATTTAATGAATGCCGACCACCATGTGCCAGACACCCTTCTGAGCACTGAAAATGCAAAAGTGTACAAAAGAGACAGAACCCCTAGCCTCACAGGATGTGTGTTCCAGTTGGGGGAGACTAATAATAAACAAGAAAATATGGCTGGGCGTGGTGGCTCATGTGTGTAATCCCAACAGTTTGGGAGGGTGAGGTGGGAGGATTGCTTGAGCCCAGGAGTTCAAGACCAGCATAGACAACATAGTGAGAACCCATATCTTTTCTTTTTTGAGACAGGGTCTTACTCTGTCACCTATACTAGAGTGCAGTGGCACAATCTCAACTCACTGCAGCCTCAACCTCCTGGGCTTGAGCAATCCTCCTGCCTCATTCTCCCAAGTAGCTGGAACTGGAGGCACACACCACAATGCCTGGCTAATTATTATTATTTTTTATATAGGGATGGGGCCTCACTGTATTACCCAGGCTGGTCTCAAACTCCTAGGCTCAAGGGATCCTCCTGATTTGACTGTATTCCCAAAGTGCTGGGAATACACGTGTGAGCCACCACACCTGGCCAAAAATAATATATTTAACTGCCATCAGTTAAATGACTATTTTCTGTTTCTACTCTCACTTTCCTTTCTCCACTCTTTCCCTGTGCCAGGTGGGATGGACCAGCCATGGGCATTTCTGAGGGTACATTGAGGCAGATGAGAGTGCATTGAGGTTACATTTATTTGGGGTTTTTTGGATACATTTATGTGGTTTGCAGTTAATTCTGTGGATTCTTCACTTATTACTAAGCCATCTTAGGAGCACCCTCATCTCTGTCCCTGCCTAGTGTTATGACGGGAAGAACCGGGGCTATCCATGTACACTGTGTCCTATGGCATCTGGCATGAGAAGCACAGAGGTTGTGGAGGAAAAAGAAGGTCTGAAATGAATCAAGACAGAAGGTGGTCTGTGAAAAATTCTTCCAACTGTCAGATATGGAAAAGGCTAAGCCAAAGGTTCCATTAACAACTACTCATCAATGGTGGGGCATGTTGACTCATACCTGTAATCCCAGCACTTTGGGAGGCCAAGGCAGGTGGATCGCTTGAGCCCAGGAGTTTAAGACCACACTGGGCAGTATAGTGAGACCTCATCTCTATTTAAAAAATAAATTAAAAGAAAAAACTCATCAAAATGGAATTTCTCTCCTGTCAAGAATGTCCCTGATAATACGGCACATACAATTATGAACAAACTTTGCTTTTCTTCTTTTTGAAGGGGATCACACAAAATACAATTTTCAGAAATTCTCTATAGGTATGGGATAAAACTGCAGAAGCACTACAAACAGCAAGTGATAGTCACGTGTGAAATCCCATGTGTTCTGCATCCCAACCGCCAATAATAATTACCAAGCAACCACGCGAATAGGAACAGCTGAATTATGTTTCTATTTTCTCTATTACAAGTGATTGTAGAAAATTGCAGACACATTGAAAGACCATCAAGGAGTATAAAGCTAAGGACATGGGGGGAAGAAGCATTAGATATGTAAGGGGGCTCAGTAATAAAAATGTGCATTTTTTCTGGATTTGGAGACATTTGTAGTCTTTTTTTCTAATTGTGATCTGTTGTGATTTATTTTCTCAATCCAAATAAAAATTTATTTTCACATATACATTTGTATTTGTCATTTTCTATTATTTTCCTAAAGAGGACACCCAAATTATATACACTCTGGGCCTCACAAAATCTTGATCCACCTCCTGAATGTCCATATTAGCTCATAGAACTGATAATCATCCTTGCCAGGACCATGGAAAGCACTGATTTTTGTTTCTCTGGTAGAGAGGCAGTATGTTACGATGCTTAGGGGCCAGGAACTCTGGGGCCAGAATGCCAGAGTTCAAATGCCACGTAAAGCATGACCCACAGTTTCTATCATTTATAAGACACTTAGAAAGTGTCACTTCATAACACTTCGTAAATATTCACTATATTATTATTAGACTTAGACATATCCTCTCTTTTTTTAAACCTTTATTCAGTTACCATAATTGCAAGATACAGAATTTTGAGAAATCGTTTGTGATTATATTTTATGTACAGCAATTTTTAACTGAAACACCACTCTAAACAAAAAGTAAAGAATGAATTAGGGCCGGGCGCGGTGGCTCACACCTGTAATCCCAGCACTTTGGGAGGTGGTGGCAGAAGAATCACTTGAACCCAGAGGTTTGAGGCTGCAGTGAGCCATAATCATGCTACTGCATCCCAGCCTGGGCAAAAAAGCAAGACCTCTACCCTAAGGAAAAAAACAGAATGAATTGGAGCTCTCTGTCCCTTTGTTTCCCACCACATGGTAGCATGAGGATGGAGATGAGGATGGAGTGTAAGCGCTGGATGAATTCAGCTTGAGTAAAACCAGGTGATGGAGAGGAGAACGTGCAAAGGTCAGAAGTCCATTCACCAATGCAATGATCCTCCTTGCCCCAACGCTAAGCCAGGGAGGAGCAGGGCTTCATTCTACTCACTAAGGAGATTTTACTGACCCCTTGTGGGAAAAGAGGTTGGTGCATCCAATAAAGATTCCAGTTTGGGAAATATGTTTTCCTGTAGTCCTTCACCCGAAAAATTCAAGGAACAGAAAGGTGAGGTAGGTTACTAACTGCCCGAGTTCTTCCCATTCAACTTGAAACTCTTATTTACAGTTACTTCTCAGATCAACTTCTTTCCTGACACTCTTTAGAGTTTTCATCAGAGGCAGGAGGAGTTTGATGTCAGGAATATGGGCTTTGGGTGTTCAAAAACAAAAAGAAGGAAGGAAAGCAGGGAGGCGGGAAGCAGGCAGGGAGGGAGGAAAGATAAGAAAAAGAATTTGGGGGTCTTAGCACAGCTACTGGCAAATCAAAGACTGTAAGCAATTTGTTTAACTCGCTGGGCCTCCCTATCCTCACAGGTGAAATGAAACTCATAATGCTAACGACTGAATCAGGTGGTGAATATGAAGCGCCCGTGCGCAGTACACAGTGGATGCTACATAAGTGTCTATGTTGTTATCGTTAAACATGATGCTGCCATATCTACTCAGTATCATGATACTCATTCGACAGTTACTTCACACTACTATATAGCACATCTTTTGAAAGAAAAAAAACAGAAGTTTCTTTTTAAAGAACAATTTCCTCAGCAGAGCCCAGGCTTGACATAGTCTCTGACAGTATACACAGATGGAAACCACTTCTTGTCCAGGCAGCCTGGCTTACCTCGTGCAGGCCATTCCGGGGAGGGGAGGGTTCGGAGGGGTCACGGAGAGCAGCACCCCTTCTGTAGAGCGGGCGGGGCAGCCTGGCTCGGGCGCATGTCTTCACTTCTCTTCCCATAGGAGATGCCTAGGGTCCTACGCAAGTAAATTATCTTTGCTGCGATTGGCAGGAGACGATTCCCATTTCCCCAGCCTCCCGATGTTCTGGCCTAAGAAGCCCTCAGCCCTCCAGGGGAGTGGGCTCCTGAGCAGGGCGGTTCCACGGTTAGACGGAGAGGAGGGGCGGAGGGGCGCGGGAAGACCGCACAAGGCCTGCTTCGCTCCCTCTACGGCAGGTACCAGGGGCCCGGGCAATGCCTCCTCACTCTTTTCCCCTTCCTCCCCAGGGGAGGGGAGATGGGGCGGAAGGATAACAGACACAACTAAACTGGAGAGACTGGGTTAGAGGAAAACGAACTGCCTGGCTTGGAACCACTTGGTCAGACCCCTGGAGTGAATCCCACACCTTTCCAGGCTGCTTGACCTCCCTGCTTATTAAGCCAGTGCAGCCCAGAATCGTGACCTCCTCAGGCCGCCTTCCCCAGGTCCCCCTGCTCTGGAATGGCAGCGTCTCCGACTTTTCCTTTTTCTGTCTCCCGCTACAGCGCAATAGAAAAAATAAGTTCTTCTATGTATAGTAAGATATTAAAAGTCATTATTGACCATGGGCAATGGCTCACGCCTGTAACCCCAACACTTTAGGAGGCCAAAGCAGGAGATGGCTGGAGTCCAAGAGTTTGAGACCAGCCTGGCCAACATGGTGAAACCCCATTTCTACCAAATATATATAATATATATATAATTATATATTACATATATTTTATTATATATCATATATTATTATATATTATTTTTTATATATAATATATATGTATGTATGTATGTGTACAAAAATTAGCTGGGCTTGGTGGCACATGCCTGTGGTCCCAGCTACTTGGGAGGCTGAGGTAGGAGGATTTCTTGAGCCAGGGAGGTTGAGGCTGCTGTGAGCTGAGATCCCGCCACTGCACTCCAGAGAATGCAACGGAGCAAAACCTGGGCATCGGAGTGAGACCCTGTCTCAAAAAAAAAGTCATTGTTATTAAAATGTGAAAAGTTAGATGAGGTCATCATGTATGCTATATTTATGTTTTTAACAAGAAAGGAGTGCAGTGGCTCACGCCTGTAATTACAGCACTTTGGGAGGCCGAGGCAGGGGGATCACGAGGTCAGGAGATCGAGACCATCCTGACTGACACAGTGAAACCCCATCTCTAGTAAAAATACGAAAAATTAGCTGTGCGTGGTGGCAGGCGCCTGTTGTCCCAGCTACACAGGAGGCTGAGGCAGGAGAATGGCGTGAACCCGGGAGGCGGAGCTTGCAGTGAGCCGGGATCGCACTCCAGCCTGGGCGACAGAGTGAGACTCCATCTTAAAAAAAAAAAAAAAAAAAAAAGGAGATACCAGTATATACATGTGTGTATTTCATAATATTAAAATAAAAACAATGTATTTTTCTACTAAAAATACATTAAACACTGTCTCTACTAAAAAAATTAATAAACTATATTGTTGTTTATACGAGAATGAGGAGCCGAGTGGAAGGAACAGGGATAGAAGAGAGATTTCTTCCTTGCAGATGAGCAGTCTGGGTAATAATCATTATCATCATCTAAAAAAAAATAAGAAGATAGACTTCTTTGAATATACTGTTTTGGAGAACTGACTTTGGAACAGTGTACATATTTTTCATAATTTAAAATTAATACATCAATTAATAAAACAATTCTTAATATCCAAAAGTAAAATTAAACTTCTGCACCCTAGTTGATAGCATAACTACATAAATACTATATACCAAGGGACTGTAAAACACAATAATTTCATGATCTGTCTCTAGATACACCCTAATGACAGAGCCAAACAAAAAATTTCAACTTTTCAGAAATCATATTGTTGATAACACTAATATTGTTATTGTACAATAAATCAAATAATTTTTAAAAACATGTTTAAAAAAGGAAATGTAGGTATAAGATCAGTAAGGTTGCTGGGTGCAGTGGCTCACACCTGTAATCCCAGCACTTTGGGAGGCCAAGACAGGTGGATCACCTGAGGTCAGGAATTCAAGACCAGCCTGGCCAACATGGTGAAACCCTGTCTCTACTAAAAATACAAAAAATTAGCCAGGAGTGGTGGCTGGCACCTGTAATCCAAGCTACTCAGTGGTGGCTGGCACCTGTAATCCAAGCTACAGATGGCTGGCACCTGTAATCCAAGCTGCAGCAGGAGAATCGCTTGAACCTGGGAGGCAGAGGTTGCAGTGAGCCGAGATAGCACCACTGCACTCCAGCCTGGGCAACAAGAGCAAAACTCCGTCTCAAAAAAAAAAAAAAAAAAAAAAAAAAAAAAATCAGTAAGGTTGTAAGCAGTCCTGAATTTGAATTGCAAAGTTCAGTTTGAACTCACATATTTTTTTCTTGAAAACGTTCTTAACCAGCTGAGTTTGGGGTTTATACCAATAATCCCAGTATTTTGGGAGGCCAAAGAAGGAGCATTGTTTGAGGACAGGAGTTTGAGACCAGCCTTGGCAACATAGCAAGATCCCGATTCTACAAAAAATAAAAAATTAATCAGGCATGGTGGCACTCACCTGTAGTCCTAGCCACTTGGAAGGCTAAGGCAGAAGGATCCCTTGAGCCAAGCAGTTCAAGTCTACAGTCAGCTATGGTTGCATCACTGCACTCCAGCTTGGGCAACAGCGTAAGACTGTCTCTTTTTTAAAAAAAATCAAACAAACAGAAAACATTCTTAGCTCTTTCCACTGAAAAGAAAAAGTCTAAGAAATAACGACCAGCCCAGTAGCACTGACACCCCTGACACCCACATTGTGGTCTCTAAATGTCATTTCCTTAAACAAAAATCAGGACTTCTTGGAGCAATGTTTTATTTCAGGTCAGGCATTTCAAAAACAAGAAAGCCATCGAAGAAGAACAGATTTGTGTCAATAGGACCACTGAATAAGTGTCCGCTAGCCAAAGATGGGCAATGTGAGCATCAGTGAAGACAAGAACTGAAATACATTAAAGCATCTAAAACATGTTTAAATCCTTGGATTTGTACTGTTATTTTTAAAAAACATATTGGTCATCTTTGGAAGATGCTAAGGACCAACTCATTAATCAATAAAATAAGAAATGGCTGGGCATAGTGTAATCCCAGCATTTTTGGAGGCTGAGGTGGGTGGATCACTTGAGGTCAGGAGTTCAAGACTAGCCTGGCCAACATGGTGAAACACGGTCTCTAGCAAAAATACAAAAATTAGCCAGGCGTGGTAGTGCACGCTTGTAATCCCAGCTACTCAGGAGGCTGAGGCAGGAGAATCATTTGAACCTGGGAGGCGGAGGTTGCAGTGGCCAGCACTGCAGCCACTGCACTCCAACCTGGGTGACAGAGGGAAACCCTGTCTCAAAAAAATAAATAAATACATAAGAAATAACCAGTCACTGCCTTCCTTTAGCAAGAGTAAGGAGGGAATATACCACGCAGAAGCAAAGCTCTGTGTCCGCTGTGAAGGCTTTGAAGGAGACAGACCATGACCAGACACAGACCCTGTTTCTGATGCTGAGAAGAGAGGAACTAAATAAATCCTGGTTAACAAGTGCATCAGGTGAAGATGGGACTTGGAGCCCCCAAGCCATACTTTCAATTTTCTAGATAGGAGCCTTGACAGGGACAAACTCAGCACGATACTTGTGAAGGTCATCAATATTCTTTTTCTTTTTTTAAGTTGAAATACCATTCACATATTATAAAATTCACCACTCCAAAATGTGCAGTTCAGTGGGGTTTGATAAACTCACAGAGTTGTCCAGTCATTGTCACTATTTAATTCCAGAACATTTTCCTCACTTCAAAAAGCAACCCTGTACCCACCAGCAGTCACTCCTGTTAACCTCTCCCCCAAGCCACTGGCAATTACTAAAACCTATTTTCTGTCCATATGGAATAGGTGTGTCTATTCTGGAATTATTTTTTTTTGAGACAGTCTCGCTGTTTTGCCCAGGCTGGAGTGCAGTGGTGCAATCTCAGCTCACTGCAACCTCCACCTCCCAGGTTCAAGCGATTCTTGTGCCTCAGCCTCCCAAGTAGCTGCAATTACAGGCGTGTGCCACCACGCCGGGCTAATTTTTGTATTTTTAGTGGAGACGGGGTTTTACCGTGTTGGCCAGGCCAGTCTCAAAATCCCGACCTCACCCTTGGCCTCCCAAGTGCTGGGATTACAGCTGTGAGCCACTGTGCCTGGCCTCACAGTTTTATATAAATGAAATCATACAATATGTGGCCTTTTGTGTCTGGCAATTTCTCAAAAGGTTAAACAAATTGTAAATATGACCCAACAATTCCACTTCTAGTTATAGACTAAGATAATTGGAAACTGTAGCATAATTAGAAATATACTTGGTCTTTATTCCCCATTCCTGGCACAGAGCTCCTAAAACCCTTGAAATTTCCTATGTGATCAGACTGCTTTTTGTTTTTCATAATGAGACCTTTTTGATTGTACCTGAATTTATGTTACTGAGGTGGTTTATGGTGGGCCCCTAGATAGCCTCAGGATGGGGCTTGTCATCAGGAAGATCAAGTGATTGGAGGGTTGGACCTTTCAGCCCTAATCACTAACCTTTGAGAAGTGCGGCAGGGCTGGAGTTTAAGCTCTATAAAAACTCTTGAACTAAGAGATTCAACAAGCTTCCAGGTTGAAGGATGCATCTAGGTGCTGGGAGGGTGGCACACCTCTATTCCACATGGACAGAAACTGCACTCAGGACCCTTCCTGGCCTTGCCTTCTGTACCTCTTCATCTGGCTATTTCTCTATATCCTTTATAATAAACCAGTAAAATGTAAGTAAAGTGTTTCCCTGAGTTCTGTAAGCCATTCTAACAAAATATTAAACCCAAGGAGAAGATTTGGAACGGCCAATTATAGCCCATTGGTCAGCAATATGGGAAGCCAAGATATAGTTAGCATCTGAAGTGGAGGAAGTCTTGTGGCATGTAGCTCTTTTTTTTTTTTTGAGTCGGAGTCTCTCTCTGTCGCCCAGACCGGAGTACAGTGGCGTGATCTCGGCTCACTGCAACTTCCGTCTTCTGGGTTCAAGCAATCCTCCTGCCTCAGCCTCCCAACGAGCTGGGATTACAGGCGCCTGCCACCATGCCCTACTAATTTTTGTATTTTTAATAGAGACGGGATTTCACCATGTTGGCCAGGCTGGTCTCAAACTCCTGACCTCATGATCAGCCCACCTCAATAAAATCTGACACTAACTCTAGGAAGATGATGCCAGGATTGAATTGAATTGTAGGACATCCATTCAATGTCAGAGAATTGGTTGTTGTGAGAAAACCTGCACATCTGGTGTCAGAGTTGTTGCCTGTGATGGTATAGAGAAACAGTGTTTTCCAGAGAAACATATATTGACACAAAAACTTTTTCACAAATATAGCTAACATGCTAGCAGTATTAATCATAATAGCCAAAAAGTGGAAACAACAATCCAATTTCGACTGACTAATGAATTGATAAACAAAATGTAGTATATCCATACAATGGAGATCTGTTTTCATTCAATTGTTAATTTTTAAAGGATAGTTTTGCCACATATAGAATTCTTGGCTGGCAGGTTTTTTTCTTTCAGTACTTTGACTATGTCATCGTACTGCCTTACTCCATGGTTTCTGATGAAAAATTAGCTGTTAATCTTAGGAAGACTCCCTTGCAGACGATGAGTAGCTTCTGTGTTCCAGGTTTCAAGATTCTCTTTCTTTAGCTTTCGACAGTTTATGATGTGCCTAATTGTGCATCTCTACTGCTTGAATGAATTTATCCTACTTGGGTTTATTCTACTTGAATTTCATCGAGTTTATTGCATGCGTAGATTAATTTTTTAATTAATTTTAGGAAGTATGGGGCATTATTTCTTCAAAATGTTTTTCTTTTTTCTTTTTTCTTCTTCTAGGACATTTTGCTGTAATTCATTCATTTAAATTGCTGCATAGTATTCCCTTGCATGAGTTTACCATCGTTTAATGGCATTTAATTGCTGAGGGACATTTGAGTTGTTGAAAACTTTTGGGTGTAACAACACTGCTCTAACATTATTGTACATGCATCCTGCTACACTTGTATACACATTTCTGTTAGATACTTATCTAAGAATGAAATTTCTGGATTTCAGGGTATTCATATCTTCAACTTTAACATATAATGCCAAACTCTTTCCCAAAATATTTGTATTCAGAGGAAGATTTACAAAATTACCATGATGTTAATGAATATTAAGCTTGCATAGGCTTCTGTGAATAGTTAGAGGTGCTGGCAGAATGTACTAGTGAGGGATGGGTAGCCAAGTAGCAATTAGAAAGCATTTCTGGCCAATTGCCTAAAGAGATTTCAGAAGAAAGAACCTGAATCTCTAAGGCTTCTGTAATTATTTTGTGTTTACTCTTCTCTTTTAGATATTCATTTTTATATTACATTTTATTCATCATTTACATTTTCTAAAGATGGCTCTCAAAATTGTATGTTTCAGATTCCTCAAAACTTGGACTACTCCTGTTTATACCATAGTGACTTCTAAATACATTTTTCCAATCCAGACATCTCCCTTGACATCAGGATCTTAAATACAACTTCTACTTAGATCATTTGCATATTAAGAAGAATCTCAAACCAAATGTAGCCAAAATATAATTCATTATTTTTTCCTCTTAATCTTTTTTCAGTCACTCTCCAAACATATTCCTCTCCCACCACTAACCATTTTGGTTAAGCGACACCATTGTTTACCCAGTTACTCTAGTCATTGTTGATTCCTCCTTATACCCTCTACATCTAATTCAATGACAAGTCATATCTGCTCCACTTATTATACAAAACATATCCTGAATGCATTTACTTCTTTCCAACTCCACTGCTACCACCATCATCCAAGCTGCTGTAATTTATTTCTTCTGAGATGCAGTCTTGCTCTTGTCACCCAGGCTGGAGTGCAATGGCGCGATCTCAGCTCACTGCAACCTCTGCCTCCAGGGTTCAAGCAATTCTTCTGCTTCAGCCTCCCAACTAGCTGGAATTACAGGCGCCCACCACCATGCCCAGCTAATTTTTGTATTTTTAGTAGAGACAAGGTTTCACCATGTTGGCCAGGCTGGTCTCAAACTCCTGATCTCAAATGATCCACCCACCTCGGCTTCCCGAAGTGCTGGGATTACAGGCATGAGCCACTGCGCCTGGCAAAGCTACTGTAATTTCTTACTTGGATTGATACAATAGTCTTCTATTTGATCTTCCAGTTTTCATTTTTCTCAAGTACAATTCATTCTCAACAGACCAACATGATTTCATTTTAGTTTAGTTTTTTTGTTTTTGTTTTTGTTTTTTTTTAAGAGACGAGGGCTCACTGTGATGCAATTATTGCTCACTGCATCCTCCAACTCCTGAGTTCAATGTATCCTCCTGCCTCAGCCTCCCAAGTAGTAGAACCGCAGGCATATGCCACCATGCCCAGATAATGTTTTTAAATTTTTTTGTAGCAGCAAGGACTTGCCATGTTTCCCAGGTTTGTCTTGAACTCCTGGCCTCAAGCAATACATCTGCCTCAGCTTCTCAAAGTCCTGGGAGTACAGTCATGAGCCGTCACCACTGGACCCAACATGATCTTTTAAAATATTAGATTATGTCAGTCCCTTGCTTAAAAGCTTCCAGCAGTTTTCTTTTGCATTTAAAATAAAATTGTAATCCCTTCTCCTTCCCAGAAGGAAAATGATCTCAGATGGAAACATGAAAATGCAAAAATCATGACAAACACCAGAAAGGCAAATATGTGATTAAATATAAATAAGTATTAACTGAACAAAACAATGAAGGTAATATCATATGGTATTTAAATTATATGTACAACTAAAATGTGTAACAATAACAACGTAAAAAGTTAGAGGAGGGTAAACTGAAATTTTACATTTCTAAGTTTATAGCTATTTTAGAAAAGTGAAGTAATAATTCATATTACACTTTAAAAGTTCAAAAATACATATAATATGTAGAGTAACCATTAAAAATGTAACTATAAAATAACTCATAACAAGTTAATCAAAGGGGGAAATGGAACTTAAAATATTAAATTAGCTCAAAAGAAGAAAAAGAAATATACAGAACTAAATAGAAAACAGTAAGATTATAGATATAACTCCAACTATAACTACAATTATATTAAATATAAATGGATTAGGTGTTCCAACTAAAAGACTAATTTGTAGACTGGATTTTATAAAAGAACTACAGTTTGTGCTTTGCACAATTACTCTAGGTACACATTTCAGTTAGCACAGTTTAGTTAAATACACCAGTATCACAACATCACGGCTTAGATTTCTGTTACCATGGCATATTAACTGTAAGTGATTGCATGAAGTACAAACTTTGCAGCTATCTCTCCAGTCTACAAATCAGTACATAAATAACAGGCATATTATGATTATTGACAATCCACATACTTCTTTCCAAGGCTACTAGTGACTGGTCAAAGCAGATCTGTTACTCAGTTCACCTGCAGACAGCAAAGAATGTTGTTGTGTTGCCTCCTCGTCTCGCAGTGGTAAACCCAAGTGACGCTTTACAAAAATGAATAATTGAAACGGGTAATTTAGCCTCGAAGATGAAAGTTCGCTAAAGCAATGAAAAGTGATAATGCTGGAAATGAAAATCAAATAGAATAGAAATGGGGTTATAGAAGACATACGTGAGCATGGAGTTCCTATTTACCTTCTCCCCCACATGCATGACCATGGGAACACTGACAATGCCACCATAAGAGAAACTATAGACAGCCAGTGAAGGTGGCCTGACCAACATAAATGAGGAAAGTAGTGTGACAAAAAGGACGAAAGTGACCTGAAGAAAGCAATGAAGGCAAAAAAATTCACATTAAAGGGACTCTGGGAGATATGTTATGACATTGAAAGCACAAAGATGACATGTTGGAAGCTGATCAGACTTAGAAAGGAGTATGACAATTTGCCAAAGAACAGAAAAAAATGCTTGCTCTGTATGGTATATTATACAAAAAGCCAAACATGGTTCAAACTACGCTTGGCTTTGTTTTTTTTCAGAACAGCTTTAGGTTTACCAAAATATTGAGCAGATAGTACCAAGAGTTCCCGTTTATCCACTTCCCCACGTAGAGTTTTTTAAATTATTAACATCTTGCATGGGTGTGGTACATTTGTTACAATGGATGAACCCATATGAACACATTATTAAACAACATTCATAGTTTACATTAGGCTTCACTCTTTATGTTGTACAGTTCTATGGGTTTTAACAAATGCATAATGTCATGTATGATATGTATGATACCATTACAGTATCATACGGAATTGTTCCACTGCCCTAAGATTTCTCTGTGCTCAGCCTCTTCATCCCTTGCTACTTCTACCTGAACTTCTGGCAATCACTGGTCTCTTTACTGCCTCCATACTTTTACCTCTTCCCGTATGTCATATCATCGGAATCGGAACCATATGCAGCCTGTTAGCCTAGTGCCCTTCACTTAAGGATATGTATTTAACGATCTTTCCTGTCTTTTTTTTTTTTTTTTTTTCAGTCTCGCTCTGTCACCAGGCTGCAGTACAGTGGTACGATCTCGGCTCACTGCAACATCTGCGTCCCAGGTTCAAGCTGTTCTCCTGCCTCAGCTTCCCGAGTAGCTGAGATTACAAGCATGCGCCCCATACCCGGCTAATTTTTGTATTTTTAGTAGAGATTGGGTTTCACCATGTTGGCCAGGCTGGTCTTGATCTCCTGCCCTCGTGACCCACCTGCCTCAGCCTCCCAAAGTGCTGGGATTACAGGCTTGAGTCACCACACCCGGCCATTCCATATCTTTTTATGGCCTGATAACTCTTTTTTCAATTTGACATTTATTTTTAAATATTTATACATATTAGATATATGTATTTTCAGGGTGTATATGCTAACAGGATACATTTGTATAAGTACATAGGAATATTCAACACCTTAAATATTTATCTTTTCTTTATGCTAGGAATGTTTGAGTTATTCTCTTCTAGCTATTTTGTTGTTGCTGTTGTTATTGTTTTCTTTTTTTAAGATGGAATCTTGCTCTGTTGCCCAGGCTGGAATGCAGTGGTACAGTCTTGGCTCACTACAATCTCCACCTCCTGGATTCAAGTGATTCTCCTGCCTCAGCCTCCCAAGTAGCTGGGACCACAGGTGCCCACCACCACGCCTGGCAAATTTTTTTTACTTTTAGTAGAGATGGGATTTCGCCATGTTTGCCAGGCTGATCTGGAACTCTTGCCTTCAGGTGATCTGCCTGCCTTGGCCTCCCAAAGTGCTGGGATTATAGGCATGACCCACCGCGACCAGCTTTCTTGTAGTTATTTTGAAATATACAGCCAATTAACCCTACTATCAGTATAGCCACCCTACTGGTCTGTTGAATACCTGGTCTTATTATTATTATTATTATTATTATTTTTTGGAGGCAGAGTTTCACTCTTGTCACCCAGGCTGGAGTGCAGGGGCGCGATCTCGGCTCACTGCAACCTCTGCCTCCCGGGTTCAAGCGATTCTCCTGCCTCAGCCTCCTGAGTAACCGGGATTACAGATGCACACCACCATGCCTGACTAATTTTGTTCCTTTAGTAGAGATGGGGTTTCACCATGTTGGCCAGGCTGGTCTCGAACTCCTGACCTCAGGTTACCCACCTGCGCTGGTCTCCCAAAGTGCTGGGATTACAGGCATGAGTAGTAGACTGGCCTTACCAGAAGTGTTAATAGAAGATATTTATAGAAAAAAAATTTTTTTCATTTTTGTTTACTCATTTTATTTTAATGTAGCGCAGGGGCCTTTGCACAGGGGCCATGCTAATCTCTGTATCATTCCAATTTTAGTATATGTGCTGCCGAAGCAAGCACCTACAGCTTCTTTAACCATTCACCTATTGAAGAACGTCATGGTTGCTTCTAGTTTTTGGCAATTATGCTTTGAGTTTTGGGGGCTACAAACATTCATGTGCAGGTTTTTGTGTGGATGTAAGTTTTTCAACTTATTTGGGTAAACATCCAGGAATATGATTGCTAGATTGTATGGTAATATTGTGATTAGTTTTATAAGAAACTGCCAAATTGTCTTCCACAGGGGCTGTACCATTCTGCACTCCCACCAGCAATGAATAAGAGTTTCTGTTGCTCCACTTTCTTGCCAGCATTTGGTGTTGTTCATTTTATGGATTTTAGAGCCATTCTAATAGGTTGGTGGTACTATCTCATGGTTTTAAATTGCAATTCCATAATGACATTGGTTCTGAGCATCTTTTCATATGCTTCTTTGTCATATATATATAGATACACATACGTCTATATCTTCATTAGGGAGGTTGTCTATTCAAACCTTTTTGCCTTTTTTTTTTTTTTTTTTTTTTTTTTTTTGAAACAGAGTCTCGCTCTGTCACCCAGGCTGGAGTGCAGTGGTGTGATCTCAGCTCACTGCAACCTCCACCTCCCGGGCTCAAGCGATACTTCTGCCTCAGCCTCCTGAGTAGCTGGGATTACAGGTGCCCGCCACTGCACACAGCTAAATTTTGTATTTTTAGTAGAGATGGGGTTTCACCATGTTGGCCAGGCTGGTCTCGAACTCCTGACCTCAAGTGATCCACTTGTCTGAGCCTCCCAAAGTGCTGGGATTAAAGGTGTGAGCCACTGCGCCTGGCTGCCTATTTTTTAAATTGGGTTTTTCGTTTTGTTATTATTCAGATGTAAGACTTCTTTGTAATTTTGGAAAAAAGTCTTTATTAAGTGAATTTTGCTAATATTTTGTTCCAATCTGTGGCTATTTTTATTTCCTTTTTTCTTTTTAACCTTTTTTTTTTAAAAAAAAAAAAAAGACTGAGCCTTGCTCTGTGGCCCAGGCTGGTCTTAAACTCTTGGTCTCAAGTGATCCTCAGCCTCTCAGAGTGCTAGGACTGGCATGAGCCACTGTGCCCAGACTCTTTTCATGGTCTTAACAATGCCTCTCACAGAGCAGAACTTTTAAATTTTGATGAAGTACAACTTATCAGGCTTTTCTTTCATAGATGATGCTTTTGGTGTTGTATCTGAAAAATCATAACCAAACCCAAAGTTACTTAGATTTTTTCCTGTGTTATCTTCTAGAAGATTTGTATCTTGGCATTTTACAATTAGGTCTATGACCCATTTTGAGTTAATTTTTGTGAATGGTGTAAGGCCTGTGTCTAAATTTTTTTAAATTTTTTTAAATTTTTTTTGCAAATGGATGTCCAGTTGTTTCAGCACTGTTCTTGAAAAGACTATCCTTTCTCCATTTAATTGTCTTTGCTCCTTGTTAAAGACCTGTTGACTATACTTCTCTGTAGAGTTCATAGAAATGAAGTTAAAAAGAAAAACAACAAGTCCGGACATGGTGGCTCACGCCTGTAATCCCAGCACTTTGGGAGGCCTAAGCAGGTAGATCACCTGAAGTCAGGAGTTCAAGTCCAGCCTGACCAATATGGCAAAACCCCATCTCTACTAAAAATGCAAAAATTAGCCAGGTGTGGTGGTGTGCGCCTGTAGTCCCAGCTACTCAGGAGGCCGAGACAGGAGAATTGCACCCAAGAGGCACAGGTTGCAGTGAGCCAAGATCATGCCACTGCACTCCTTCAGGATCTCTTGTAGGGCAGGCCTAGTGCTTCCTTCAGGATGTCTTGTAGGGCAGGCCTGGTGGTGATGAAGTCTCTAAGCATTTGCTTGTCTGTAAAGGATTTTATTTCTCCTTCACTTATGAAACTTAGTTTGGCTGGAAATGAAATTCTAGGTTGAAAATTCTTTTCTTTAAGAATGTTGAATATTGGCCCCCACTCTCTTCTGGCTTGTAGAGTTTCTGCTGAGAAATCTGCTGTTAGTCTGATGGGCTTCCCTTTGTGGGTAACCTGAACTTTCTCTCTAGCTGCCCTTAACATTTTTTCCTTCATTTCAACTTTGGTGAATCTGACAATTATGTGTCTTGGAGTTGCTCTTCTTGAGGAGTATCTTTGTGGCGTTCTCTGTATTTCCTGAATTTGAGGGTTGGCCTGCCTTGCTAGGTTGGGGAAGTTCTCCTGGATAATATTCTGCCCAGTGTTTTCCAACTTGGTTCCATTCTCCCCGTCACTTTCAGGCACACCAATCAGACGTAGATTTAGTCTTTTCACATAATCCCATATTTCTTGGAGGCTTTGTTCATTTCTTTTTACCCTTTTTTCTCTAAACTTCTCTTGTCGCTTCATTTCATTGATTTGATTTTCAATCAGTGATACTCTTTCTTCCAGTTGATTGAGTTGGTTACTGAAGCTTGTGCATTTGTCACATAGTTCTTGTGTCATGGTTTTCATCTGTGTCAGTTCATTTATGAACTTCTCTGCATTGGTTATTCTAGTTATCCATTCTTCCATTCTTTTTTCAAGGTTTTAGTTTCTTTGCACTGGGTATGTAGTTCCTCCTTTAGCTCTGAGAAGTTTGATCTACTGAAGGCTTTTTCTCTCAACTCGTCAAAGTCATTCTCTGTCCAGCTTTGTTCCGTTCTGGCGATGAGCTGCATTCCTTTGGAGGG